TGTGATATAAAACTAAAACAAAAATTTTATTTTTATTTTTTATTTTATTTTTTAAATTATTTTATTTTATTTTATTTTTTTAAAAAAAAAAAAAAAGAAAAAAAAAAAAAAAAAAAAAAAAAAAGAAAAAAAAAAAAAACAAAAAAAAAAAAAAAAAAAAAAAAAAAAAAAAAAAAACTCAAAAACTTAAAACCCACAACCCCATAAAAAAAAAAAAAAAAAAAAAAAAAAAAAAAAAAAAGTAAAATTATAGCAAAAAAAATTCATTTGGTGGAAAAAAATTGTTATATCGAAAAAAAAAAATATCTAGTAAATAGTTCACTATTGTGGACTTCTTTATTCATAATTAATTTAGTAATAATAATATAGTGGTCTTTTTTTTTTTTTTTTTTTTGCAGATGCTAAAAAAAAAATAAAAATAATAATTAAACGATTCTTTGTAAATAGTATAATTTATGACAATTTGTCTTTTTTTAATCGCGCTTTTGTTTATAATTTACACGTCCAATCAAAATGTGGCCAAACGCACGCGAATTACATATTTTCATTGACCAAAGATGTTTTATCAACAGCAAGTCACATGTTTCTATGCCTTTTGAGGTGGTTGAATTAACGACATCAGAATTTGATACAACAATAAATGTTTGAAAGGTTTACTTGTATAATGTTATTTTACAAATACCAAGCCTGATGAACCATAAAAATATGTAAATCTTTCTAATTTGAATTAATTGAAATTCACGTGATTCACGTCAATAATTTTTTAAATTCGAGAAATTCTTTTTCAAAAGAAATTTATAAGAACTTAATAAATTGTTTGTTTAAAATGACGCGTCACTTTCTTTCAATTTAAAATATAATCACGTCTGACGTAATCTTACATTCATCGCTCATTCAACGCGATCTTAACACACATTCATTCAATCACTACAAAATCTAACACAAAGTTTGATTAATATATATATATATATATATGTTTTTTTTTTTTTTTTCCACTTTATTATAAAATGAAGGAGGAAAAAAAAAGATAACTAATAATGGAATAATATAATAATGAATATTATAGACAATATAATAAATCACAAATATGCGAAAAATTTTTTTGTAACCAAAAAAATAAAATAAAAGAATCTATAAATAATATTTTTTGGTTGAATAAATTCTTTGAACATTTCTTCAAAATACTAGCTAGCAATCTCTCACATCTCATTAAATTTTTTTTTTTTTTTTTTTTTTTTTTTGTTCTCGATTTACATAATATCTTTCGGCTAGTATTTCCCCGACCGAGAATGCTTTCCTCGACCGCGTATGCCAATAGGATGTACTTCGAATTCTTGCATTCTATAATTTTTGCATTTATGTGCATTCGGAAGCTCTTGTATCATCTTCCGAACTGTGGGCTGTGACAACCCAAAATAATCTGGTCCAGAAGCCGCGTTTGAATGCTTTCTGTTCCGAATGCTGTTGGCCTGTTTAATGACTGGGGTCCATGCTCCAGTCGCGCTACTTGCGATTATTGCTTCGGGCTGATCTGCAGCTTGAACAACAAACTGTAAATAGTAAAGCCAAATAAATCATTAGTTGGACGTTTATTATAATTATAAATAATTGAATAAATCACATACTCTCGGGTTATCTCCGGCGTCTTCGATCCTTGAGGTGTATGTTGTCTCTCGAGTCGGGTCGATCATACTTAGGTATGGTCTAAACACGTGATAAAACAAATTAGATCCCAAATGAACATGACCTTACATATGTGTGTGTATATATTATCAGGCCTATAATTACCGTTGTGTCGAGTACCCAACTGGATATATGTATCGATCATTATGGTATGCAGAACGATCAAAGACCACAGTTCCTAAATCAAGAATTGTGTGGAGTCCTACTTCGACGGGCAGAATGTAGTTACCATTCTCATCTTTATCGACATGGTACGCCTTAACATTCCTCGAACTTGCGGGAGGACGACCGGGACCACGTTTTGATGAAGTAACCGGAACATCATTTACGATGTTCCTTGCAGCATGCGCTGCTGATTTTACATTATGTGCAGCAGATGCATCATTTTGTCGTCTTTGATGGTCCTTGGTCGAGGTTGATTCATTTTTAATATAAGTTGTAGACAATTTGTCCAGTAAAGAACTAGAAGTTGTTAATGTTAAAATTTTTTAAAAAAAAGCGATGTAAAGATACGATTATAATATTTACTCTCTTTCTTCTTTGCATTTTCTAACTGTTTTTATGGCGCGTCCGTATTCTTCGTTTAGCTCTTGGTTGACCTATAATAAAGTTGAAGGACGCGAAAAATTGATGTCTTTCCACACTAATTCGTGAAATAGCCTCATATTTGTAGTTTTATGTTAAAAAACTTACCTTCTTCAATTCCATGTATTTAAGCTTGATTTCTTTGTATTTTTCATAAGTGGATATAGCAGTGGCGCCATTTTGTACATTGTTTTTTGACGGCTGGTTCTTTGTATGACGACCCATTTTTCAGAAGCTTTGAGCGTATCAAATTTTACAAGAGTACTTGTAAGATCTTTGAATAACCAAGGAAACAAAGTATATATCCGATTCTGATTCTGAGATCGATAACAAAGTAGGTTTGTATATAGAAAAAAAAAATTCTCTCAACGCGTTTAAATAATGGTGAAAGGATTCTGTGAGTGTACGTTTTTTTACACCGAATTGGAAACCTAAATAGTAAAAATATTTTTTATTCCTTCAAAGCTTCGTATTTTTTTTTATTACATAAGCGAATTCGACCCAAAGGTCAAATTACCAAAGAAATTAATTTTTTTTTTAAAGATTTAAAGAAAATAAAGAGGGTTCAGGAGAACGCTGACTCAATCGTGACAACACGAAACGAAAGAAAAGTATTTATTGTAAAAAAAAATTTTTTGAACTCGAATTTGAAGAATTACTTTTGATAAAAAAAAAAAAAAAGCGTTACGTTGTCGAAGAAATGAAAACCAATTAACTTATCAGTAGTAAAAACCAACACGAAACGGAAAAAAATTTTTTTTTTTGCTCGACCGAATGAAAAAAAGAGATGATAGGGAAAAAAAAATTGTCAGATTTCTAATTAAAAAATTCTTGCTAAATTCGATTGGTCTTTTGTGATTACAATTTCAGATATGTCATAATTAAAATATCACAACATCACGCGATTTAAAGTTCGCGACGAATTATCAAATATTTAATTTTAATGTAATATCGTATGGTCAATAAAACGTCATAATTATGCTTCTCTACGAGGAAACTTTATTTTATTCTGTTTTTCTGCTTATTCTGTTGATTTCCAATGTCACAAAATCACGTATAGAAAATGATTGGCTCATCTCATCAGTGATAGATTAAAAAGTTTTTTTCAGATCGAAAATTGTTTTAAAAAATTCTAACTAATTTAAGCTTGTTGAATAATTTTTTCTATGTCCAGGACAATTACCGAGGTTGATATAATCAAAGAATTTAAAAATCCATCAAAATTGCATAATTTCAATCACGTGTTCTGCCTCAAATGACCATTCATAATGTTATAGGCCGCAAATCTGTTAAGACAGAAGAAAATTTCAACTGCTGCTTTGGTTAAAGAATGCCTTTCTCGTATTTCAAAATACGATGCTAAAGTAAACGCGTTTATAGAGGTGCAAATTGAAAAGGAATTACTTGATAAGGTTTTAGAGGCTGATGATCGATTTGCTAAAGGTCGGGGTTGCATATTCATTTACAATTAGTTACATAATAGTATTTATACTTATTATCTATCCTTTGATATAGGATCATTTATTGGCTCTTTAGATGGAATACCTATTGCGTATAAAGATCTATTTTGTACATCTACCTTACCAACAACTTGCGGTTCTTTAATGTTGAAAAGTTAAAAAAATCTTGCCAATGTTGTATTCGTTGCGTCACGTGATTACATCATCTCAAATTGCTTGATTGTTTAGATTTTAAATCACCCTTTAATGCGTCTGTCGTAAAATTTCTTGAAGAAGCAGGCGCCATCATGATTGGGAAAACAAATATGGATGAGTTTGGAATGGGGTAAATATGATCATTCACACTTTAAATCATATATGCTAATCTAAACTCGAATCTCTCCATATCATATCGAAAAGTTCTGCCAACGTGTATAGTGTATTTGGACCTGTTTATAATCCTCATTCAATTCTTTTTGATGAAAATCATTTGGAAAATGACAATAATAAAAATATCAAAAAACGACGGGTTGCTGGCGGAAGTTCGGGTGGTAGCGCGGCGGCAGTTGCAGCTGGGATGTGTTTTGCGTGAGTTGATTGCATTTGATGCTCGATTGTTTCTTTCAAGTTATGTTCAAATACTCGATGGCATAAAAAAATACTGTAGTGCATTGGGATCGGACACCGGCGGATCAGTACGCCTTCCTGCTTCCTATTGTGGTGTAGTCGGATTCAAACCTTCTTATGGGCGATGTTCTCGATGGGGACTTGTCGCGTATGCTAATTCATTGGATACGGTTGGCATTCTGACAAGAACAGTAAATGATGCTAAACTGATATACGGTTAGTACCTTTACATTTCAAAAAAAAAAAAAAAAAAAGATTAACATCTTACTTTCATCTTAAATTTATTCGCTTCATTAGATGTGATATCAAAGTACGATGAAAATGATTCAACATCAATGTCTCCAAAAATTCGATCCATAAATTCTTCCTTACCTTCATTTTTAAAATCCGATTCAAACACTAATGATTTAAGAGGATTACGAGTTGGCGTGCCTAAAGCAAGTGTTTGTCCTTTTATGTTAAAAAATTATATCCGATTCTAATTAGTTGTACAAACCATAGGAATACTACGTTTCAGAACTGAATGATCCTATTATTGAATTATGGAAGAAAGGGATTTATTACCTACGATCTCAAGGCGCGTCAATTGTCTCAGTATCATGCCCTAGCACCAGACATGCTTTATCAGCTTATTACGTTTTAGCTCTTTCGGAAGCTTCATCTAATCTAGCAAGATATGATGGAGTTAGATATGGTATATTTTTTTTTATAAGATCCTTTCCAGAGAGGTTGCGATAAATAAAGTTCTACTTTTGTCAATTTCTTCTTTAGGTTATCGAAGTGAAAAAGAATCAAACGAAAATGACAATTTGCTTTATGCTGATACTAGGGAAGGATTTGGCAAGGAAGTTAAAAGACGTATAATGTTGGGAACGTACACTTTAACTGCAGGGTAATAAATCAAATACCTCTGATACGTCTTATATCACTCTGAGGTCCTTAATATAAAACATCTTTCTACTATAAACTTTAGATCATATGAAAACTATTTCCTTCAGGCGCAAAAAATCCGTAGAATGATACAATCAGATTTTGATCGAGTTTTTAAAAGACCAAATCCGTTACATTTTATTAAAAAAGATACATTAAAGATTGATGATGATGGGGTTGATGTTTTGATAACTCCAGTTGCTATTTCTACTGCACCAAAAATCGAAAATTGCTCGGAAACTAACGTGAGCGTAGGAAATAATAGTAATGATTTTGTGAATGCTTATGTCAATGATGTTTTAACTGTACCTGCAAGTTTAGCTGGTGAGTAATATACTCTTTTTGTCTAAATTTAAATATTTAAAATATTATCGTTGACTCAAATTTCGTCTATATAGGAATTCCTTCAATAAGCGTACCATATGGTGTTTCCCCAACCGATGGTTATCCAATTGGGTTGCAATTGATGACACAATACGGGGATGAGGACACTTTATTGGAAGTAGCAAAAGTCTTAGAAAAAGGAGCAAATCAGAAATAAACAAAAAAATCATCCTTTTGGAATTAATTTATTAATAATATTGAACCTATTAATAGTTACATATTAATTATCCTATATAGAGGACTTGAATTATCATTAACTTTTCTCTTCCTTTGCATTTTCACACGGATCAAGGGACTAAACTTTCAATCATAACAACAGGTTGTGCTTGATATCATTTCGAACCTACTTGATTAAAAGAGAACTTCCCCTTTAATTAATTCGATTATAAGGCGATGAAAAGCAAATCATATATCAACCAGAAACAGAGAATGAATAATAAACCAGAAAACCAAGGAAAGAATTTTATCACCCCATGAGCTGTGAATTATCTTCCGGTGGATATTTTGACTGGCAAAATGTCATCAATCTCTTAATTGATTGAATCCACTTACGCGTTGACTCATCGTTAAGCACGTGAGCAACCTGCGCAGAAAAAATTTTTTCACGGGCAGAACGTTCATGAATACTAAATAAAGTTAACATAAACGTTAATAAGATAATGAAACTCCGTTATGTGAAAGTTTATGAAATAAGCATGCGGCATGCATGCGCACAATGTTAATATGTAGCAAACACTTGCGATTTCCATGTTGCATAATAATTACTCCGAAATGAAACGAGCGTTTTGAATTTATAATACATACCCAACCATAGTAACACCTGATTGTTAAATAAGGATAGAATTAATTAACTAATCTTGACAAATCAAATTATTAATTCACAAATTTTTTAGAAAGCATACCAATAGGCCAAGGTGCATTTCCAATCGATAATCGTAGATAAGCATCGTTCGCAGTCATGTATTCACGTTTTTGCATATAATGTGTGATTTCTGTCACCCGCGCCAATACATCTGGTTCTATCGACTATATAAATAAATAGCATTAATAAATTATTCCAACAAAAAAAAATTTTAAATCAATTAAAATCAGCAGATTCTACCTTCTTCTTGAGAGTTCTGAAAAAAGGTTGCATGTATTCATCTGTTTGTTTTTGTGTGGCAGCAGCAAGTTTGCCTTGCATACTCCTTTTAACATGATCTGGACGATTATTCATTTCTTGTTCCCATTCACGAATTAAACGCTAAAAAATAAAAAGGTAAATAAATATCCCCATTCATAAAATTGTACAAAATAAATATTCACCTTTAAAAAGGTATAAATGAGAATATAGAGTTTGTCCGGATCTTTTTCTAAGAGTTCAATGCTAATTGGAGTATTATCCTAATTTAACCATATTAATTAACAAACAATCCTGATAATGTGGTTGCTCAAAAAATAGTAAATAAATGATGAAAAGGTATAATACCAAAGCAGAATCCTCCGTTGGTTTCTTTTTCTTTGAAGTTCGACTTTCTGCTACGTCTTGTTGTTTTTTTAAAGCTTCTAAATCTAAATTAGTGTCCATTTCTTCCAAAGTTCTCATAAAATCATTACGTTGTCCCTTGAAAGTTAGAATAAAAATAAAAAAATTAAAATGAGCATAATTTAAATAATAAATATAATTAGGTAGACGATCCATATTATTATACCTCTGTTCGCTCCTCAATAAGTTCAATAGCACGTAAACGTGTTTTACGATCTTTATCAGATTCACCAAAAAGGCGAATTGGCTGACCTTTCGCTCTTAAACGACGAACTACTTCATCTGGTGAAATATTAAAAGTATCGCTTCCATCATCCTAA